ATGTATTGAAAGGTAATGGACCTAATATTTTAAAAGAATATTCACAAAATCATTGAAAAATTGCTATGAGGACTATGGTCTTACCCAGCAAACACAATTTTTTCAATTATATGGTAAATGGTATATGTATGTTAAATGTGTATATTGTGTTCCTACTTGCAGTGTGCATTGAGCATCCACCAAAGAGGGCTGTTTTGTGACTTTTATATGACTATAAGTGGTATTTAAGTGACTCTGCTGCAATTAGTTAAAAATGTAGAAAAATGTCCCATGCAAAAGAAGAGACTCCCAATTGTCTCTCTTTCTGTTTTACCAATTCTCAACTCATTCTTTTACAGGGCAGTAGCCTAGCTGGGTGCCTCATGGATCCGATGCTGCATCTGTCCCCTGCCAGCTCTAAACCCAGAACTGGACAATCAAAGACCATGGATCTCTTGGTTATCGGTCCACTCAAAGCATAGAGTGGTGACTATCAGTCACCAGCTCTCTGCTCTGACCCTCCAGTACCCACTGAAGCACCATGCTATGGAGGGGGTGGAAGATACTGCTGAGAGGCTGAGCCAGCTGCCGACCCAGGAATCTGGGTGGACCCCAACTTTAAATTGGGATCTCTCCAGAGCCTGGACTGGCTCAGTGCCGTCTGCCGACAGAAGGTTTTAGCCCACTGTTGGTTGAAAATGGGTCACAGGAATGCAAAACAAACTGCACTCCTGTGATCCATAGGAGAAGTACAGCCAAAAGAGCTTTCATGCCTTCTTCTTACTTAAATACTTGGTTCCCTGATGTGTGCTGTGGATCCTTGCACCAGGCCCTTACCTAATTACAGGACACAGCAGTGATGTAGGGTTCAGAGGAAGAAACCAAAGTGTGTAGTAGACCTATGGCTCTTGAAAAGATCTGAAAAGCAGGTGGTTGGCCAGGTAGGTATAAAGTAGTTGTGTGTTTTAAGATGCTGCCTGCTTATATTCTGCTATATGTTCCTTACAACCCACACACATACATCATCATCAATTTATTTATTTTTTTCTAAAATTAAAAAATACAACTGTATACCATTAGAGAAACATAGTAATGGATTGAAAATTATTTATGTATACTTTGTGTGTGCTTTTAGTCTAATAGTTCTGCTATAAAACAACATTATGGACATAAAAACTATAATGTGACAAGCACAGTTGCTCAGTAATTTATTAAAAGCACAGCCGTCAAATAAAGGAGCTGGGCTAAGGAACCCATACTCTGTGTTCTCAGACGAAGTAAGGCAATGTATGTATAGGTATTTAAAATGTAAAATTTTAGGTTTGGATAGAGAGGGAATATTTTAGAACCCAAACTGTTATATTGAAAAAATATGTGCCATATGAATTCTGCCTCCTTACCCAAAAGGAATGGAAATCATCTTCTAAGTACAACGTAGAATTTAAAAGGATACATTTTATTTTTGATAGACAAGTCAGCAAGCCATGGCAGACTCTTTCTAAATAATTTTGAAACCAAACCAAATTGTGAAACCATTGTTGCTACTTCATCATTAATTAGATACAGTCTGTTTTTACCTCATTCAAGCTTTTCCTTGGATGTAAGAAGTACGCAATGGAGTTGATTTACTAAAACTGAAGAGTGCAAAATCTGGTGCAGTTCTGCATGGAAACCAATCAGCTTCCATGTTTTATTGTCAAAGATTAATTGAACAAGCTGAAGTTACAATCTGATTGGTTACCATGCACAGCTGCACCAGATTTTGCACTCTCCAGTTTTGGTAAATCAACCCCAGTGGCTGTCTCTCTTATCTCATACAGTAATTGCAGTGTAAGGGTGTTTTAGAACCCACAACAGCACTCAGATAATGGGTTTCCTGGACAGTGCTGAAGCTCCAGTGGCCGAACAGTTATCAGTAAGATCCTGCAAGAAGTGAATTTGGAAGAGCTCAGTTCTAGGTGCTTCCTAATTAAATTAAATTGTTCCAGAGTAGGCAAAGAAGAGAACATAGTGCAGGGAGAGGAAGGTCTCTGTTGCACTTGTAGCAGTATAGTTCATTTTGTGAGATAATAGGTGGCAGATAATAGATAATAAATTTTCAGATGGCACCAAACTTGCTTACGAGATTTCTCTAACTTAAAATCTGCTTTTTATGGTATTGCATACCAAATGTAATAAAATTAAATGTTGATAACTGTAAAGTTACACAATTGGCCAAAAACAAAACCTTACATGCATTATACAATTTAGGGGAAGGAAAACTGGGTAAGTCAATGAAGGAGAAGGATCAGTGTATCTTGGAAGACAACAGATTTAAAAACAGCATGCAATCCTCTAGCAAGCTGTTAGCAAGATACTTGTATTAAATGAGGCACATAATCAATGTAGAATAGAGCAGGTATGGGTGGAAACCGCTATAAATTGGGTGGAAACCGCTATAAATTTAATTTTTTCTGTCTGTGCCCAGCTGGTAAAATATCTTTTCTCTTCCTGTTATTGATACAAGTCAGGAAGTGAAAGTGAATCTCTACAAGGTGGAGAGAATAGATTTCCTTTAAGACAGTTGACACCGAAACACTTTCCTCTGCTTTTATATTTCCCTTTATCTCTTGTTCTGGTGACAACTGTAACATTTTAGATTTCTTATCACTTTCTGTCCCTGTGACAATGTTCCCCAGGAAAAATACAGAGGGTGAATCTACCTAGTGGGACAAGGTCAGCAATAAAAAAAAACCTGTAAAAGGGATTCTATTCCTTCCCAACTCTATCCAAATCTATAAAACAGTTTTTTCCATATATACACTCTTTTTTTGTTTTTGTATTCCAAAGTTGCTGAAATCATTTCTAACAAACAAAAGCTTACTATGAAGTGTCTGCCACATCAACAAGCTCATCAAGTTGAAGAGGAAAATAGCAGCGGGCAACTGAGTCTTTTTTTATTTGTGAAATTATGTCATCTAACGTGATTTCAGCTGTTCTAGTAACTTTTCTCACAGAAAGTTGAAGGGATATTTCATACTTATTTTCAAAAGTATTAACAAGTCAGTCTCCAGCTTTTAGAAAGTCTTCCTCAATCATCTCACCTTCTTCAAATGGCTTTTTTTCTTTGCTATTAAAAGAGAAGCACAGTGATAAAAAGCAAAAAACTGTGGATGTGCGTTTCTCAGCAGGCTTAGTAAACATTTCATGCTGTACAGATAGTTGAGTTTTTAATTGCTGTACTTTCTGTTTTCTTAAGTCAGACTTAAGTGGAAAGTTAGCATCGCTTTTCGAATAAAGTGTTTTGAAGTGTCTCTCAACATTTCCTTTCTTGGTAAAAGCAATTGGAGTCTTCCTTAAAAAAATACACATATGTCCTGTTCATATTGGTGACAAAGTAATCCTATTTCCATCCACAATGAAAATGATGGGTTCAGCAGGCAGGTGATGTAAGAGTGAAAACAAACAAAGGTCAGTATCAGCAGGGCAGTTAGTGAAATTTAGCAGAAGCATTCATTACCATACAAAATAGTTATGTATTTATAAAAAAACAATTTGCATAGAGTTTTGCCTAGTGAAAGTACATGTACATTTGTTCTGTGTGAATGGGGCAAATAATTGATGTTATTATGTTATGTTAGCCTATTTTCTGAGCTGGTCAAATGCTTTTCATTGACTTAAAATGGAGAATCCCACATTTGGCCACTAAATTGCAATAAGTATCAATTGCAATAATGTTACATTTTCTAGTATTTGCATGTATTTATTAGCTTTTTATAATCACACTAGTCTAACATGATCATTTGCTATAAGGCCAGAAATCTTCTGATAACTAACACTTGTTTTGTCCAAAATTTAGTTTTTTTAGACTGTAACTTTGTTTGTTGCCTTTTTTGGATTAAATATATTAAAAGTTGCATTCGTTGCTGCACCAATATCCTGCACATTTTAGTGACACATTTTAGCATAGTGATTGTTCTAATGTGATATACTATATATGACTTTGAGCAGGCCACATTACCACATTTATCAAATGGATTTTAGGGCCCATTCACAACATAAGTGCAAACAATGGTCTCCCTAAGGCAGTGGTTGGCAAGCCGCGGCTCCCGAGCCACATGCGGCTCTTTACACACTTCAATGCGGCTCTTCTGTGTGCCGGGCGCCCGCTTCCCTCCCTCCTCTCGGGCGGCTGCCCCAAAAGTCAGGACTCTGCAGCTAGCCCGGCAATGGGCAAACTACGGCCCGGCGGACCTTTTAATCCGGCCCGCGGAGCATGGCAAACATTAGCTGTCAGGATGTAGGCGGGGCAGCGTGACGAACTCCTCTCCTCTCACAGCCCGCCCTGAAGACCGGAACGACGTGGGAACACGGCGAGAGGAACGCGCGGAGCAAAGGTAAGTGAATTGACACAATATGGGGAATGAATTACAATAGGGGGGATGAATTACTATAGGGGGGATGAATTACTATATGGGGGATGAATTACTATGGGGGATGAATTACTATATGGGGGATTAATTACTATGGGGGATGAATTACTATATGGGGGATGAATTACTATGGGGGATGAATTACTATATGGGGGATGAATTACTATGGGGGATGAATTACTATGGGGGATGAATTACTATATGGGGGATGAATTACTATATGGGGGATTAATTACTATATGGGGGATGAATTACTATATGGGGGATTAATTACTATGGGGGATGAATTACTATATGGGGGATGAATTACTATGGGGGAAGAATTACTATATGGGGGATTAATTACTATATGGGGGATGAATTACTATGGGGGATGAATTACTATATGGGGGATGAATTACTATGGGGGATGAATTACTATATGGGGGATGAATTACTATGGGAATGAATTACTATGGGGGATGAATTACTATATGGGGGATGTATTTTCAGTTTTAAAAATGTGGCTCTCAAAATAAATTTCAATCGTGGGTTTTGGAGAGATTTGGCTCAGTTGAAAAAAAAGGTTGCCCACCACTGCCCTAAGGTATGACATGCAAGACCTCATCTGTGCTTACCAGGGACGGACTGACCATTTGGAAACTCAGGCACTGCTCGAGGGCCCGGGGTCAGTAGGAGGCCCCATGAGATGCCCCTGGTACCTTTTTCATAGGCTTTTTTTAGTTTGGGCAAGAACATAGGGGCCCCATGATCCCCTATTGCCCTGGGGCCCCATGAGTTGTCAGTCCGCCCCTGGTGCTTACCATTGTTCTGCACCACCTATGTGCTGCCAGTCCAGCACCACCATCACAAACACTTTTACAAAAGTACCACCACCAGGGCCACATTACCTCAAAACAGCAGTATCCCGCACAAGTGTCATCCTATGTCATGACTCCACATTCACAAACCCCTTCAGAAGCTTGCCTGTGCACATCCACCACTACTCTCATAGAATCACCAAATTACACCAAGGAAAGGCAGGTTGGATGATAATACTGGTGTAGACACTAGCAGATCTTCATCACCCTACCTTTTTGTTCTATTTTCAATCTTGGGCTCTAGTTCTTATTATTTTGTTATTTAGTAGAAACCTGGGGCACACCACTACCTTTCTTACTAAGGCTTGTGCATTTTTGGATTGTGTTTTTCTTTTTTTTTTTAGCGAAAACCAAAAACATTCTGCTGCTGACCAAAAAATTATATAATCTCTAAAGATTTATATATTTTTCAAAAAAGAGTGCATCTGAAAAATTGGTAAATTTTGACTACAGAAGTGTTAAGAAAAAATAAGGGATCTAACACTTCCTTTTCATACAAATGGTACAAGCATTATTGACAACCAGCAACATTCCACCATTGAGACTAGGGACAACCTAGGCATGACAGGAGCATGCAAGGGAACAGGATTTGCACACATATGAATAGTATTTGCAACACGTAACTTTAGTAGTTTTTTGTACCATAGCATAAGAATGGGATGTTCAGTGGGTGACACTGCCTTGTACTATAGTGTGTCCTGCAGCTGAAGGTTGGGTGCCAGCATTTCAAGAGCTTTAAAATCAACAAAAAGAAATATTATTCAACGTGAAATTGCACACACTTATAGCCCAACTCTTGCCTTTCTCTACCCCCTGGACCTTATAACCATTTAATCCTTGCAATATGCAATATGGTGGTGGGGGTGGGGTGGAGGAGGGGCACTGCAAGGGTTTTTTTTTCCCACCAAGAAAAAAAAATCACAATATTCCTATCAAACACGGGAATTATTGCACCCTTCCTGAATGCAATATGCTGAACACCTTAGCCGAAAGATGATGTCTCTGGATATTAATATAAAGGTGAACATGACTGCCCATAACTATGGAACAATGAGGATATGATGTAATCCCTGCTGTTACACCTCCTGCTTGGCAGAACAGATGCTGTTATCGAAAAATAAATATCCCTAACTAGAAAACTGATGGAGATTTGAAGGTACCATACCACAACATTGAAATGATCACAATATGTAACAATTACAACTTTATTAGTAAAATTCAGACCACAGTTCTGGTGATGAAAATTGGCACACATTCCTCTTAAAAAGCATATATTGCTTCTAACGAACACAATTAACAAATTAACACAATTACAAACAACATTACAAAATATGGCCTTTGATGACATGGATATCATGGTTGGCATAATCATTCTAAGTTGTACTTTGCTAATTTTTTTTCATGGGGGCACAACCCGCTTCTTCAGGGAGACAAAGTATATAATTCCATTAGTAACATTAACTTTGTAGGAGGCCAATGGAATACATAAGCATTAGATCCAGGCAAAAATGGAAGGAGTCCCTCAATCAAAAATGTAGATGTCCGTCAACTAGATAGAATCACCAATCCACAATAGGAAGCACAACAAACAGGGTACTTGTGTGGTCCAAAAAGCTCCAAGCAAAAAGCTCCAAGCATACAGGATCCCTCTGGCATCAATCAAAAGAGGACAATCCTTCATCTGGAGATAACAATACTACCAATCCCTTGGTAATAGTATTGGCCATTCTGGAGAGGATTGCAAGGGAGGAGACCTTATTGTGGGTCTCCATCTCTCGTTGTCTTTTTTCCCATTAAAGATGTTGTTATCTTTTGAATGATGTCATGAAAATTCAATTAAACTTTTCTCCTAAACTGTAAGGATTTTCGAATATATATATTAACCATTTAGTGTTTTTTGTAGGGTGGTGTACTTATGGGTGATTTTTTTGGTCTATCCTGTTCTTCTTTAAAAAAAAAGACTGTTTTAAGTAAAGTGTATTCTAGTTAAAAAAAAAAAAAGTAACACTTTTGAGAATTGAAATAAGAAATCAAAAATGCACTCCAGAGCATGATGAAAATGTAAAGCTACATAATACAAACATTACAGTGTGTGAGTAGGCCCTTAAATCAATGCTAAAGGTTTACATTGTTTTTCTAAAAATAACAAACATGTTATATTTACCTGTGCTGTGCAGTAGTTTTGCACAGAGCAGCCCAGATCCTCCTTTTCTTGGGTCCCCTGCAGGCTCTCCTGGCCCCTCCCTCCTGTTGGGTGTTCCCATAGCAAGCAGCTTGCTTTGGGGGCACCTTCTGCTCCATGTGTCCATTCACACACAGAGCCGTGGCTTAGCCCTGCCCCCTCTCCTTATTGACTCACTGGCTGTGATTTATCCCACTGCTGTCTCAGCCAATGAGGAGAGGGATAGCTGAGACTTCAGTGCACATCACTGGATCAAGAGGGGACTTAGGTGAGTATTAGGGGGGCTGCTGTACAGAGCATATATAGAATGCATGAAGGTAAAAAACCTTGAACCTTTACAACCACTTTAAAGAGTTCTTTGTTTTGTCTCAATCTAGCTGTGCCTGTCTATGAGGGGTTGGAGCTTTCCCAACTTCATGTTCCTTTTCTGCTTCAACAAGGAGTTACAATTGAGTTGTATTATGGATTCAATCACCAATGGTTGTGCTTAGAGTAAGTACCTTGAATTGCCACTTTCACTATACATTGGATGTGTTTTCTGAAAATGGTAGTACAGTAGCAATAGTTTTAAAAAAATACAGTCTATGACTGATGTCTCAGGTCTGTCACCAACTGTTGTTGGCTGAGTTACACTTCAATATCATTCCACAGAATTTTTAATCTGTTACCTAAAGAATAGGTAAACCCAACATTTCATATTCCTGATATGCGCCTACTGTACTTGTATGAAAAAGTATCCTGTTCTCTTTGTATTGCTTCCTTTATGTGAAATCCCTGGTGCTCCAGCCAGTCCTACTGCTTTTCTATTAAAAATTGATCAAACTAAGCAGGAGAAACACACTATGGTCAGTACTCTAACTGTGCTGTAAGCTAATCCAATGATCAGGCTTGTGCTGACATGCCCCTCCTCAACATAACCATTCACTGAGATGATCAGTGTACTACTGTTTCTCCTACCTGAACTCCTTATGCAGCTGAGACCCGAGGGTATGCGATCACTTATAAAAAAAAAGATAGAAAAAAGGTATTTATAATGTTTTTTATATGTATACACATAAATTGTTGCCATTCATTTCTATTTTAAACTGAATGGGTTGTTTTAACAAGGTGGGAGTTTACATATACTGGGCTTGGAGCTGCTTGGTGTTGTGGTAGCACCCAGATATTGTAGAGTTTCCCTTTAAACTCTAACACTTCTAGCAGCCTGTGTGTGTAAAAGCAAGGTTTTTGGCTCATCGTCCCCCCCTCCCTTCTTTCCTGTGAGTGTTATGTTGTACTAGCTCATTAGCTGGGATTCTTATCTGTAGCTTCTGTCCGAGCTTATTCTGCAGAGTTTAGAAAGACTTTTCAGTGTATAGAAAGTGAAAGAAGAAATGTATGCCTTGTGATGTAATCATTGGTATATACACTTGTAAGACGTTTTCTATAACTCACTTAGCAGATGAGAGCACAAGCCATCTGTTGAGTCAAAACAGAGCTGTTTTAAATAAATCATTTGTATTCCTCAAGTCGTGTCCAGAGTTCTCCGGTTTGCCAAAATTGCTACTAAAATGTCCTCTCTCTCCCCAGACATGATGTTACATGTGTTAGAAATTTCCCTGCTTGCTCTCCAAATTGCAACTGCAAGTAACACTTTTCTTCCTCTTGTTTTGCTTCAAGAAGATCTTTGAATTTGGGACCACTTGTTTAAATATTGCCCATTCATCTGAAAGGTTTGCATTATCAAAATGAATTCTTTCTGAGTGTTTGCATACCAGCAAACTCAGTTTTCTTGCAAGTGTGCTTTACTTTGTGTTTGCAGTATATTATGCTCTCAGGTCTTTTACAACTAGTAATATTCTACTGAGATGTTTCCGTGCTTGACTTTTGGTCACAAGGGACATGCTGCTGCATTAAACTCTGTATTTAATATCTATCTTGAACAGCATAGGTCCAGCTTGAAAATAATGAATAATATATATATATACTGTATATATATATATATAAATAACAGTTTAAAAGTCAATAAAATAAAAAAAAATTCTGATTCTGTGTGCTGGCCACTTCCTGAAGAAGACACTGGAGACATCACTGGGCCTCACCTCAGCGTCCTGGAAATAGTGAAAATCTGAACTCCTGTGAAAATGAAAAAGATCCCAAGAATATGCTCCCGCACTGTGCAAGATATGTTTTTAGCCCCACTGTGAGCCAACAATATACTGTATAATGATAGGTAACATTATTTAATGACATGCTGCAGTGCATACATCACAAGATGCTCCATCAACTCAAGATCCATGCTACCACTAAACATAATTTGCCTCTTCAGCTTTAGAATAGACTTTACGATGAAGCAGAGAAAACATGACTTTTCCTTTTTCTTTCTGTTATGCAGTAGTTGCCAACATTTACCTGTATCTCATTATGTGGTAAGGTTCTAGTGCAGGTCCCATGGTGACAGCATTGTAAGTTCAGGCACAGTTCAGTGACTGCTGTTTCATACATTATACAGGATTAATAGCCAGTTATAGGCTTCATAACCTTTTATATAACTGATCTTGTAAAAATATTTCTGCTCACACTGCAATTCACTGTGGCATGTCAAGCTGAAATCATGTATAGTTTCAAGCTAGCCTAGAGTTTGACAAAATATAAATGTAATGTACATGGTTAGCTTTTCTTAAACTTTGCAGTGGTTGCAAAATGTCAAACCCTGCTCATGCATGGGACAATGCATTATAGGTACTTCAATCAAAGCTGACAAAACTGCATGTAAAGAGGCCCTGTCA